TTGCGTTGGAAGTAGAGAACCGTCCTGAGGTACTTCCAGAGAGTTTCCACTGAGCTTGAGTTCGATGATGTCGGTGCTGACTCGGTCGCCGAATACCTTAGGATCTATGGGGGTTTTTAAGTCACAGTTGTTGAGTTCTAGGCTCTCCAACCTCGTCAGGTTTGCAAACAATCCCTCTTCCAGAGTATGCAGCTTGTTTCCGGACAATATTAGTTTCTTCAGTGAAGTCATGTGAGCGAACGTGTTGTTACCGACGTAACCAAGATTGCAATAAGACATGTCCAAGTATTCCAACGATTCCAATGGATTCAACAAACTGACAAATGCGTCTGACAAAGGATTATGCGAGATGTCTAGCTCCTCTAGATGCTCGAACACGTGGAAAGCATTAGGCAGTCGTCGCAGGCTACAATTGCTCAACGAAAGCTTGTGAAGCTTCGGTAAGTGACGCAACACCGCTGTCAAATCAGCAGCGAACATCGGATTGCCGCTCAAATTCAACACGCGCAGTTTACTAGCATTTTTGAAAGCTTCCTCCGACAAGCGGTCTTGCAGATTGCAGTTCGACAAATCCAACGACTGAAGACTATGCAGATTATGGCCCAGCGTGTTCCCAACGTCCAAATGCCACAGCTCGTTGTCGGCGAGCACCAACTGCCTGAGGTACAAATTCTTCGCAAACGCATCCCCTGGCAAATTGGTAATTCCAGTCTTCCTGATGTTCAAGTATTCAAGACGAATCAGCGGCGCTAAGACACTCGTCCAGCTCAACGTACGCAGATCATTCTCCGCCATCTCGAGTTCTCGAAGGTTTTCCAAATGTGCAAACGCATCCGGAGAGATGTGGGTCAAGTTGCAGGCGTTCAGCTTCAGGTATTCTAGATTAGTGAGGTGATCGAACGGGCCAGGCTCGATCTGTCCGAGCGGATTATGCGACAGGTCGAGCTTATTCAGATTCGTGGTATTGTGGAAGAATTGTGTGTTCAGACGGTGGATGCCGCATGAGTTCAGATCGAGGTAGAGCAGGGTACGACAATTTAAAAAGTGACCCTTCACCTCGTCCAGAGGATTGTTCTGAAGCTCCAGCGAGATTAGACCAGGGCTGTCCCTGTTGAAGTATTATAATCCGTGATTATAGTAATGCGCACACAAAAGTAAAGTGCTGGATGTTTTCTATCGTTTTTTTTTAAATGGTTTTCGTTTACGCTGTAACTAGAAAATATGTAACACGAGCATGTGAAACAGCTGATTCTTGCGAATTTTATAAAGAGCAGGTAAGTGAAACAGCCAGCAGAACGTGCGAAGCAGATTTTAAATGATAGATTTTAAATTATATTGAGAGCAAAATTTCGCTGCAGCGCTGAACAAAAGTAAAAGTTGTTTCGCAAGCTATAAACGAAAAGCTATAATTAAAGCTAATAAGATAAGATGATCTTAAACTGAAAAAAACACGTTAAATCAACGTTTATCTACTGAATAAAAATAATACTTTTCTATCGCATTAACGACCGCTTAATTATTATAAATTATAAATTATAAATTATTATAAATTATTATAATTAATATAATTATATTTAATATAAATATATATAAATAATATAAATATATTTAATATAATTATAATTAATATAAATTCGTATATTATATTCTAGACTTTATTATTATGTTACTTACTTATCGCGTAGCATTGTTAAAATAGCATCCATTAGAAGCGAATTATGTAAAAGATATTCAAGGTAATATTGTAAAATCAAATTTATTATAATATGTAACGTGTCTAAATAAAAAAATTCAACTACATTAAAAATTTTTAAAAATGAATTCATTATTATACTTCTACGATAAATAATAACATAAAACACGAGAAAAATTTCGTCCTTTGCACTGTATTGAATAAATATATTTTAATTGATTGCGATCGGTCAATTTAAAATGTATATTCGACGATGCATTTGTCAATCTGTCAACTTCTATTTTTCGAGTAAATTGTACAATTTTATCGCTCAGTGATATATTTCAATATTTCCTTGAAAAGATAAAAATCAGTGCGAATACAAAAACAGCAAGATATTTTGAATGTGTTTTCATATGTATATGCACCCATGTCAAATAAATAAATCGTAAAAATAAATTTTTCATTTTCCAAGCGATATCAAAAAAAGTGTAAACGTGAAAAATGCAGCTACCTCTTTTTTTTTTAATTTCTAAAATCCATTAGATCGTGTTATCAAGATTTATAAAATTTCTCAAACAAATAAACAAAAATTCGCAGACACTATCACTGTACAACTTCAAATCATAAAAGAATACAATGACTAAGCTATTTGTTATAAAATCGAGCAAGTACAAAGTTGAATAAAGTTCAATGGACTCGTAACGTCAAGAGAAATCTTAAATTGATTTAATCTAGTTGCCGTCAATCAAGAATTCCTACGTTACTCTTTGTAGGTAAGAAAATCACTACTTACCTACACATTTTATAAATAAAAAAAATTATAAATATCCTCTTACTATCACTATTTCTATTTTTATCTTTACGTAGCGACAAATAGGTGCGACGATTTTTTATTTATTTACGTACATGTGTGTAGCATACGTTTATCCGTAGAAAAAAATGTATGGGGAAGAAGTACCCCCCTTACCTAAATGCCTCGGGATCGACATGAGTGATGGCGTTTGACGAAAAGTCTGCCTCCAGCAGGTAAATTAATCCAGCAAAGGATTCATACTTGAGCTGGGTCAATCGATTGTGTGCCATCTGGAGACGCCTCAGCTTGATCGAATGTGGAAATGGACCGATCTGTGCGATGTTGTTACCATTCATATCTAGAATGTAAATGTTCGGGCTGAGCTCGTCGTTCGGGATGCTGGTTAAATTGCTCTCGGAGCAGTCGGTCACCCAGTTGATGCGAAAATAATGACAATGACAGTCGACGGGACATTCTTGTTCCACCAATTCGCCATTATAGGCGAACGTCGACGTGCCAAGAATCGCTACTACCGATAGAAGCAGCCCCAGCATCTTCATAAACACGGAATATCTGTAAATGAAAATAGTTACGAAAATAGTAAATAATTATTACTCGCTTAATATTTCCACAAGTCAACAATTGCAAAAAAAACCACGGTGCTGTGACGTTCAATTCGAATTCAACAATCTGATCGAGGGATTCTTTGGCCTTCTGCATTCAACATATAATAACGTTCTCGG